TACAGGAATGATAGAGGTGTGTCACAAGTGCATTAAACCAGAGTTTCCTCCACCTGTGCAGAGCTTCAGAAAGAGGATGAGGAGGATGAAGAGCAGCGTTGTATCCCAGACGTTACTTCACTTCCTCCCACCTGCAGTCTTGACTCCTCCCATCCTTATTACGATGTGGCTCGACATGGCATCATTCAGGTGTCAGGTACCGACTGCTCACCTGGGCTCCAGTCCAGCCCGTTTTATTGTCATCAGGTTGATTATTTCTGTGGATTATTTCGTCGTATTAAAGGTGTTTGTCTGCAGGTGACGACAACTTTGGCAGGAAGTTGATCACCTTCAGCAGCTGCCTTCTTCCTCCGTCTCACCAGCTGAACCATCGCCGCCTGCTGGAGTAAGAACCTCCCTGCAGTGTGTTTCTGGTGTTGTATCAAGTGGTTCTGATGTGGTTCTGATGGTGCTGTGCTGCTGCAGGTACCTGAGGTTCACCCTGGACCAGTACGTGGAGATGGACTACATCCTGGTTTACTTCCATCACGGTCTGAGGAGCAGCAACAAGCCGTCGCTCAGCTGGTTACGAGAAGCTTACGGAGAGTTCGACAGGAAGTAGGTTCATTGTTTCCTGTGGTTTGATGATGTCACGTCCTGCTTTACATTTTTTACTACATTTCTGTGAAAAGTAACCCAACTAGTGCACACAGTGCTGACCAGAGACGTTCACCTTGAAACAGGCAGCTTCAGTCTGTTTGTGTGTTTGATCTGGACCTGGTACCAACATGTTCAGTTAGACTTCACTGAGTTTACTAACGAACAAACAAACGCATCGCGAGATTTTACCGAACCACTAAACTGACGTCATGAAGAGAAAACGAAAAACAACGTCTGGACACGAACTTCAGAAGTTTATCAGTTTCCAGAAAAATACCGAAAACCTGGAGGAGAGTCTACAGAAACATGAACACATGAATCCAGCACCGCCGTCACTCTGCCGCCATCTGGGCTGCTGCTGAGAACACCTCAGCGATTCATCCAGTGAGCTTCGTCCTCAGTGTGTCACAACCAATCAGGACTCTGCAGAGTGCAGGTGCAGCAGGGATTGTACTCAATAAACAGAACTAGTGATGAGATATAATAGAACTTTACTGATACTGAAGGATTTTCTTTTGTTAACGTTTAGACACTGACGGATTGATCAGTAGCAGCACATTGTATTGATTTCCTCTGATCAGCAGATCATCGGATCATTCAGCTGTTTTCTGGTTAAACTTTCTTTCTGGAGCTTTTTGTCCTCAAACGTCAGTTTGTCAACGTCTGACATGTTTCAGCTGCTTTACGAGAAACGACTCGTTTCTGTCGTGATGATNTGTTGCTGTTGCTGCTGTTGTTGTTGTTGTTGTTGTTGTTGTTGTTGTTGTTGTTGTTGCTGTTGTTGTTGCTGTTGTTGTTGTTGTTGTTGCTGCTGCTGTTGTTGTTGCTGTTGTTGCTGTTGTTGTTGTTGCTGTTGTTGTTGCTGTTGTTTGTTTCATCAGAGGACAAAAACAGTTTGAATCAGAAGTCCGACATGTTTCAGGGTTACATGAGAGATGAAACGTGAGCTTGTCCTCAGTCACCAGTTTCCTGTTGAGCAGAATCCAGCTGCAGGTGAACTCACCTGTTCAGGACGCTTCAGGCTCGTTTTTATTCACAGAAACACTTGAAACTGACGTCGGCTCAGTTTAATGAGCGTTGAAGTGGCAGCAGGAGTTCAGTTTTACTGTGAATCTGCTCCTCAGCATCGTCGTCAACGTTGATCTTAAACGGATCAATGTGACGTTTTGACACTTTGACAGTTTCTTTGTGTTAAACTCTGAGAAGCTGTTGAGCTGAATGACCAGTTTTTTTTAACTGAATTTTAACCTGTCAATAACCTGTCAGTAACCTGTCAGTAACCTGTCAGTAACCTGTCAATAACCTGTCAATAACCTGTCAATAGCCTGTCAATAACCTGTCGGTAACCTATCAGTTATTTATCAGTAATCAGTCAATTATCGGGGCTTGTATCTGAACCCGAGGGCGGAGCCTCTTTAACCTGTAAACATACGGGACCAGTTTCCTGTTCGGTCCAAACCTTCTCCAGAACCTTTGTTGTTGAGTCCAAACAGGACTCAGATTCCGGCGTGTTTGGTTCTCTGCTCCGAGGTCCAACCTCAGGAGACGGCGACCACCTGTTGGTCCTGTTCATGTCTGATTTCTGGATCATTCTGGTTTTGTTTCTGTGTTTAGCGTAAAATCAGTTGAATGTGCTGCTGTGTTCAGGTCAGTTACAGACTGAGGACCTTAAAGACTCAACTGTCCGGTGAAGCTGCTGTCGACGTCCCGACAGGATGAACGTGCCGTCTAGTTGTTCTCTGGCTTCAGAACGGTGGTTTGAACTGTTTCTGTCTAGATTCTGATGGTTTCATTCTTCCTGTCGTGTTCCAGGCCACATGTATGTGATTTAATTAATCAGCCTGTATGTTATGGAGACACACGGAACACGTGTTGACGACTCAACGCTGTCGTTGTGTTTGTCCACGTGGAGGTGTCGCACACGGATCCAGGTGGAGGTGTAGAACACGGATCCAGGTGGAGGTGTAGAACACAGATCCAGGTGGAGGTGTAGAACACGGATCCAGGTGGAGGTGTAGAACACGGATCCATGCAGCCGTCTGACAGCAGAACTGAGGTACTGGAGCTGATCTGGGACCAGTAAACTCATGTCAGTGTTTTATTCAGGAGATGAAGCTGCTGTTGTTTCACTTTGATGTTTGGATGAACAGAAACCCTGATCATGAACTGATCCAGAACCAGAACTTGAGCCAGCTTGTGTTCTCTGCCCAGATGGAGTCTGGAAGCTTCGGTGAATATGTCACTATGACGTCATCGTTCGTTATCACAGCATCTGTTTATGAGGAACTTCCTCAGAGCTGCAGAACAAACAGAAGCTGATTAGAAGCAGCGTTTCCTCCCAGACCTCAGGCTCTGAGCTGCTGGAAACAGGAAATCGTTCAGAACCTGCAGGAATCTGTGACTGAAAAACCCTGAACAGACAGATACTCTGATATCTGTCAGAGGTCCGTTCAAACCGGAGCTTCAGTGGATTAACATCATGTAAAAGTAAGAACTATGGGCCAGTCTGGGTCCATCAGACAGAACTCAAAGCACTTTTTAACTTCACACCATCGAGCTTTTTAACGTTTTCTGTTAGTCCTCAGCAGCTTTCATGTCCCTGGAAGTTTTATTTCTGGAGATACTGAACCCTGAAAATGACTTCACAGGGTTTTGAGGGTGAAAACAGAAAATATTGTCACGTCTGAAAACAGGAGGTTCTCACAATTCAGCCGCAGCATTTGACAGAACCTAGGTCCAAAATAAGAAATAATTCAACTACAATTCTACAGTTTCATCAGCAGACGCTTTTATCCAAAGCGAT